GCCCATTGGTTATAAGTGGATCTACAAACGAAAGAGAGGAATGGATGGGAATGTTGAGACATTCAAAGCTAGTCTGGTTGCCAAAGGCTTCACTCAACGTGAAGGTATTGATTATGAGGATACATTCTCACCAGTTGCAATGCTTAAATCTATTCGCATTCTTTTGGCCATTAGTGCTTATTATGACTATGAGATATGACAGATGGATGTTAAGACGGCATTTTTAAATGGCCATCTTGAACAAGACATCTACATGAGGCAACCAGATGGTTTCGTGGTTAAAGGTCGTGAGGACTGTGTATGTAAGTTGAATAGGTCTATTTATGGACTTAAGCAAGCTTCACGCACATGGAACATTTGTTTTGATCAGGCAGTCAAATTATTTGGCTTTGAACAAAACGTATTTGAACATTGCGTTTATAAGAAAAAACTAAGGTAATGTTATCATGATTCTCGTTTTATATGTTGATGACATCTTGCTCATTGGTAATGATGTAGAAGCATTGTCATCAGTTAAAAGGTGGTTGTTCAATAAATTTGAGATGAAAGATCTTGGAGAAGCAAGTTATATTCTTGGGATCAAGCTTATGCGAGATCGGGTTAAAAAGAAAATAGACTTGTCTCAAGAGTCTTACATTGACAAAGTTCTGATCAGGTTTGGAATGGAAAACTCTAAAAAAGGGTTTTTGCCATTTAGACATGGGTTGGCTCTTTCTAATGACCAGTCTCCCAAGACTGATAAGGAAATTGAGCAAATGAGGCGGATACCATATGCTTCGGCAGTTGTTAGTCTCATGTATGCCATGGTCTGTACCAGACCGGACATCTGCTACTCTGTAGGGATTGTCAGTAGATATCAGTCCAATCCTGGACTTGATCATTGGTCAGCTGTGAAGAATATCTTAAAATACCTTAGAAGAACTAAGAATCTAATGTTCATTTATGGAGGTGATGATCTGGTTCCAGTCGGATATACGGATTCTGATTTTCAATCAGATCCTGATGCCAGGAGATCTACATCTGGATATGTGTTCAAGTTCAATGGAGGGGCAGTTAGTTGGAAGAGTGTCAAGCAGGGTTGTACTGCTGACTCAACCATATAAGCAGAATACATTGCAGCCTCTGAGGCAGCAAAAGAAGCTCTTTGGTTGAGAAACTTTCTAATTGAACTGGAGGTTGTGGAGCACATAGATCGGCCTATAACGCTTCATTGCGACAATAGTGCAGCTATAGCCCAAACCAAGGACCCAAAATTTCATAAAGGAACAAGACACATTCAGAGGAAACATCATGTGGTTCGTGATATAGTAAAGCGAGGAGATATACTTGTGGCTAAGATTGCATCGGAACATAACCTTGCTGATCCATTCACAAAGGCTTTACCGATCAAGATGTTTGATCGTCGTATGGAGAACATGGGAGTTAGATGTGATTTGAATTGGCTATAAGTGCAAGTGGGAGCTGTTAGGATATGTGTGCCCTAGCATAGCAAATTCTAATTTTGGATTGTAAAAGTCATGGTTTCTTATTTGGATATTATTATTAAAGCATTATACAATTGGTGAATAGAATGTATTATTTTTCGATTCTTTATGGAATTGATGGTGTCTGCTTGATTACAAAATATATTTATATATGTATGTAATGGCAATTAATACTATGATATAAATTAGTAATCATAAATGGTTTAAAGTCGGTAATTATGGATGGACATTTAATTAGTTAAGACTTAAACCGAGTCCACGATAGATTGAGATATATTGCGAGAGCTGTCGTATGCAATTGCTCTCTATCACAGTCATGGCTTTTGACTCTCAAGCATGAGAGAAGTATAGACTCTTTTATTAATTAATAATTACTTTGATTAGTTCGGTGGATACCTCAGGATCCTTAGATCAACACTTTAGATAGTTATGTAATTAATAATTAAAGGTCTATATTCTCAATATTTGCATCAGTGCTATTTGTATTTATTTTGTTTTGATTATGGTTGATCACAAATTAAATTCGAAGGCCTTCGTATGTTTTAGACAAATGTTTTCTATATATATTTATTTAATAAATTATTATTATTTTTTGTCAAATAAATATTTTATTGTGATCGAGCCGGAAATAATCAAAAGTAACAAAATAATTATATTAATTATGTTGTCGGATTGATGGCTTTAATTATCCGATAAATAATTAAGCATAGAGGGGTCAAAGTGCAACATTGACTTAGAGGTTATTTACTATTTAATTGGAGTGCAATTAATTTCTTTTAGTGGAGTAGAAATTAATTTATGAATTAATTGAATTGGGTCCATGGTTTAATGGACCGGACCAATTATTAATTTATAGGAGCCAAGAAAATAGTAAGCCCAAAAGGATTCTCACCAATAGCCCAAGTTGATATTGGAGTCATGTTAGGATTGAGAAAGTTGAATTAGAGATGGAGAATGATTTATTGTTTCCTTATTCTTATTTTTATTTTGCCTATATATACATGAGTTCATGTATATTTTAAGTGTGACTTGGAGAACAAGAAAAATGAATACACTTTCTCTCTCTAGATTTTAGGGTTTTGTTTTCTCTTCTAAAGGAGGCTACCACCAGTCTAGATTCCAAGGTCATTCATCAAGGCATATTGGTGATTCCTAAAGGGAAGATAATAATCGAACGGAAGGAGAAAGGATCTTGCTAAAGGGATCTATAATAAGTGAGAACATTCACTTTAGAGGAAAGTTCAAAAGATTTAATCAGACCTTTGATGTAAGTATTTAATCTGTTTATTGAATTATGCATCATCTTTTATTTATCTTTGCATAAAACTTGTCTCTGTGTGATGAATCAAGATCTATGATTGCAAATCCCTCAAAAGTTTTAAAAACTTGCACGTTTCCCAACATCTTCAACGCCTGGATTCCATCCGGCCATCCAAGGAGTTGCATCTCCATCAAAATGGAAGGATGCAATCACCACACACTGTTCGTCTGGAATATTATGATAATGGAAGTTTGGCTCAGCTCGCGAAATCCAATCCAGGGGTTGTTTTCCGTCGAATGTCGAAAATTTTAGCTAGAGAGGTCGAATTGTCCTGGCACGATTAGTGGCTTGAGGACGGGCTGCAGAAGGAGAGAAAGAGTCACCCAGGAGCGAAGGTTGTGTAGACCCTACTCGTAACAATGAAATTCCTCCAGCATGACTTTCTGGAACTCCACTTGCTGCTTGGTTAATTGTTGGAGGGAATTCTGCATTTTGCTGAAGTGTGCAGTTGTTTCCTCTTTATGAAGTTGGAGTTCGACTTCGACACTCAGTAACTCCTGCTCCTGAGATTGTCCACCCCCAGCTTTCTTTCCCATGATTGTACTTGCTCTCATACCAAAATAGTAGGTTCGAGGGAGAAATTAGGCTAGACGAGTTTACTTGGTCGTCAGCCCACAAAGGAAAGAAGAGGATATATTGCAAGTCTTCGTCTCTCTATGTGGCAATTGCAAAATAAAAGGGTAAAAGCTCGGTGTGACAAGTGTGAATCTCAAAGCAATCATTTGTGTAAGATAATGTTTAGAATTCTATCAGATTTGGATGTTGATTAATAGTCATGATTCAAACTTTGGGCAGGGCTTAGTACCATGTTGAATATTTGAGTCCTCTAGACCTCCCATTTATGGGATTGTAATTATTACTTATTTGTAAAACTTTGAAATTAACATTTCAAAAAGAAAAATAAAAAAATTTCGGGAATGTATAAAAATTGAAGGATGAGGACGAAAATTGAAAAGCGACTATACTAACAACAATTGCGAGGCTGCTAAGTGGATCTTGAGCATGTTTAGGTTCAGTGTGTTTTCTACATGTATGAACATCCTCTGAATTTTATTGTCCCACAAACTTTTTACGTAGGGTTTTAGTGCAGGAATGCATCATGTTACTCAACGCTTTGGAGAGTATATCAACTATTTAGAAAAGGATATTGGAATTTTGAATATTGCCATTCTAAGGAAGTTAGATCACTTATAGAAGAACTAAGTAGGAGCCCAATTAATGTAGTAGTTCAAAAACTCAGGCTTCAATGCTTAAAGAGTAAACACTTTTTTCGAGAGTAAAGATGGAATAAAGTGTTTAAATTGAAGATGCTTAGATCTTCTCATCTAACATACTTCCACCATATTGTAGAACCAATTTTTTTCCTGGCCCCCCCCCCCCCCCCCAAAAAAAAAAAAAAAGAAGACATTATCTAAGGAAAAAAAAAAATGCCGCCTTGTTTAGTATTTGTCCCATCGAAGAGAGACTAAATATACACAACCTTCTTAGATGACTATAAAAAGTGCTACTGAGCATGGTTTTAACCCTTATGCTTATGAAAAAAAGAAGAAAAAGAAAGTCTTTGTTTAGTATTTGTCCCATCAAAAAGAGGCTAAATGTACACAACCTTATTATATTATGATACAAAGTAACTACTTTCATATTCATTCACATTCCCATCCCCGTAGTTAGCAGTCTGCATGTTATACTAAAAAAAAAAGGGAATAAGCCGCGCTTTCTTTCATACTAATTTCTCTCGAGCAAAAATTAGCCTAGGCCAAAACCATATTGTTAACGTTCTTTTTCTTTGAAATTCTTCCATTTTTATTTCTTTATTATTAGCCAAATCAAGGAATTGGCTACCCCACTATTCTTCTCCCCTACTTTCAGTGTTTTGGTCTAATGGTATCTTCTTCCATTTCGAAGAAGATACCATTATTGTGAAAAATATCTTAGTTTAGGTTCGCCAAAGTTGAATTTTTGCATTAGCTATTAAAATATTCCTAGTCAAACTAAACAAGAAAAATCAATCTTAATTTCTTGCCTTATTGCTGAGGCATGCCATAACCCACCTCCCCCACAACACACACTATATATACCCCTACAACCATCCAGATTGAAGACACAAGGCATTCTCTCTCATTCTCTCTCTCACTAACCACCTTCTCTCTCTGCATTTCATTGGTTTAGTTAAGTTACGACTCACAACTACAGTTTTTCATGGCAAAATCACCAGAGACAGAGCACCCAGTGAAGGCTTTTGGATGGGCAGCTAGAGACTCCTCTGGAGTCTTCTCTCCATTCAAATTCTCCAGAAGGTACTCACTCTATATCACTCTCTCTATATCTTATATATGTATTTACATTTATATGTGTAAATATATCTGTGAGTATTTCTTTAGTTTTTTAAATATTGGGTTTACGGTGTCAATCTGAATAGTCTGGTTTTAGATATATCTGGCGTCTGAAATGATGTTTGCAGGGCCACTGGTGAGAAAGATGTGAAATTCAAGGTCTTGTATTGTGGTATCTGTCACTCTGATCTTCACTTTGTGAAGAACGAATTTGGCATGTCTATGTATCCTCTCCTCCCCGGGTATGATTCAACTTGCTCTCTCTCTCTCGCTCTCTCTCTCTTGGTAACACTGAAATTTGATATATATATATATATTTAAAATCAAGCACACACCTGTGCGTGGTGTTTTCCTTTTTGACGCTATAAAGATGACCTTGAAGTCTTTGGAGTGTGTTCTACTGTTACACCACAGTTGAGTTAGCCACACTGTAGTATTAAGATTTACGTCCTCTAACACTTATATTTGTCAATTGAATTGGGTGATGCAGGCACGAGATCGTGGGCATAGTTACTGAGGTGGGTAGCAAGGTACAAAAGTTCAAAGTTGGAGACAAAGTTGGTGTCGGTTGTCTGATTGGAACATGCGGCTCATGCGAAAATTGTGCTAAAGATCTTGAGAGTTACTGTCCTGAAATGATACTTACTTTCAGTACCATTTACCATGATGGAACAGTCACATATGGGGGTTACTCTGATATCATGGTTGCCGATGAACACTTCGTGCTTCGCTGGCCTGACAGCCTGCCTCTTGATGCTGGTGCTCCTCTCCTATGTGCAGGGATTACAACTTATAGCCCCCTGAGATATTTCGGACTTGACAAGCCAGGTAAACATGTGGGTGTGGTAGGTCTAGGAGGTCTCGGCCATGTAGCTGTGAAGTTTGCGAAGGCTTTTGGGGCTAAGGTGACGGTCATCAGTACATCCCCTAACAAGAAAAAAGAAGCCATTGAACAGCTAGGTGCTGATGCATTTTTGGTCAGCCTTGACTCAGATCAGATGCAGGTATCTACTTTTTCTAATTATTGTTTTTATCAATCACTTCGCTGAGGTATTAGTGTGTTCTAATCTCATGTTGAATTTATATAGGCAGCAATGGGCACAATGGATGGTATCATTGATACTGTTTCTGCAAATCACTCTATTTTACCGTTGATTGGATTGTTGAAGTCACATGGAACATTGGTTTTGGTTGGTGCACCAGAGAAACCACTAGAGCTACCAGTGATGCCATTGCTTATGGGTAAGTTTTTGACATCACTAGTGTATTCTAGGAATTTGATACGCGTTAATGATAATTTCCCGTGTCTCTTTGCTTCTTCGACTTCTCTTATTAGAAATGATATCTAATGTGGAATGTGGACTAACAGGGAGAAAGATAGTGGCTGGTAGTAGCAGTGGGGGAATAAAAGAAACGCAAGAGATGCTCGACTTTGCAGCAGAACACAACGTAACAGCTGATGTTGAGGTCATTCCAATGGACTATGTGAACACTGCTATGGAGCGTCTTGCAAAAGCTGATGTTAGATACCGATTTGTCATCGACATTGGGAACACTTTGAAAGCTCCTTCATCCTAGGAATTTTGGTTTTTCCGAGGTTGTTTCGTGGTCAGACAAGGGATCGATATTAGGATCTATGTTTCTATGTGGTTGTCTTCTATGGTTGTTGACATCGATCTTAATCTTCTTGTAAATCAGTGCTCAAATGTGAGATTTTATTTCGTCGTGTGTACTTTTTTCATATGGACAACTTGATTGTAATAATACTTGTTCATCGTATTGTATCTTCTCTTGCCAGGTTAAAAAATAGACCCAGGGTCATTCATATGCTAAAGCAGAATTCTGGTCAATCGAATCCTAAACTTTAATTTTTTAGACTTCAAAATTTCATTTAATAACATGGTTTAGGTATAATAATTTGTAAACTATATATTATTTATATAATATTATTTACGACCATGGAACCAAATTCTCACCGGAAACAACATTTTGTTTGTATAATTCACTCTTAAGAGGAGTTCACTCTATGCAATTAGGATAATTATCCCCTTACAAAAGTAAAAAGCATTCCATGTGCCCCATACACCAAGGGCAGAGCCAGTGTAGGTTTAGGGGTAGCCCGACAAGTTAAATTTCTCTTCTTAAAATATACTCTATTTTTTTTTTTTTTTTTTTTTTTTTTAAAACATTATAAGAAAAAAATATCACACAAGTCAAATTCAAATTCAAATAGAGAATAATTCGAATGAGGATAAAGGTAAGGTAATCACCTTCCCAAAAATCTCTCTCCAGATCACCAAGGTCTCTCTATTGGGATTATAAAAAAAGACTATTGCTACCTCCCATAGAAGGCCATGAGTCAACACCTCCTACAAGATGGCGATTAGCCAACCTAAAAGGTTTGAGAAATTAAATGCAAAATTTATTTTTTTAATATTAAAATTCCAAAACGACTTCATCTTCAGAGGGAATTTGGCTGGCACTTTAGCAGGTGTAGGTTTCAGTTGTGGACAAGGATCCTCTCCAACGCAAGAGAGGCTCTCACTAGTGATAATGCAGCAGGAGAGGATCCTGCACAGAATTCAGTGATTGAGATTAAATTAATAAATGGGACTCACTAGTGATAATGTAATCTCAACTATTGAATTTTGTGCAGGACCTCTCCTGCGCTGGAGAGGATCCTTATCTCTCAATTGCCATCCCTTGCATTGCAGGAACTGCATTTTCTTCTTCTTCTTCTTTTTTTTTTTTTTTTGTCCTCTTTCTTATTCATATGTTTTTTTCCCTTCTACTTCTTAAAATTTTTCTTTTTGCACTTATGTGTGATGTAGGTAGTATGTAATATGAGAGGGCAGTAAAATTTTGAAATGTACAAGAGTTTATGTAACATATTGACAAATCTTAAGGGAGGTAAGTAAAATTTACCCAAATATTAAATGAAGTGGGATAAATGGCCAATAACAGATCAAAATCCTCTCCATTGAGAGAAACTGGTGATTTGGGTGAAGTTCATCACTATCAATGGTAACTCACTTTAATATAATGGTGAAATTCACGTGGAAGCAAAAATATAAAAGTAACATTTTAATATTTAAAATATTAATATCATATAATTTTTTTAATGCAAAGTGACTAATTAGATTATGTGATTGTTCATCTATTGAATTTTGATGTAATTTGTTTTTTATATTTTGATTATTAATTTTAATAAATTTATCAAGAGCACCTTTCTGAGATTGAATTAATTTATCTATTAAAAAGTTTTCCACATCCTTAATAAAAATAAAAATTGTTACAAACAAAATATACATTTTACACAATAACAATTATCTAATGAGGAGAGATAAGCATAAAAAATAAAATAAATAAACAAGAAATAGGAGTTCAATAAAAAAAGTAGATAATTAGAGAAAACCTAAGAATAGCAAAAAAAATAAAAAAATAAAATAAAAAAAGGAGAGCAGATAATTAGACAAAAAAAACTGAGTGGATGCAAAATTTTATCACTTTTCAATACGAATTATGTGTTAGATAGAAATTAAATTATAGGACCTACAAGTAATACATACTATTAGTTGGGGCATAACAATATATAATGAAATAAAAAACTTTTGTGGTTCAAATATTAATACACCTTATTGGCTACCGAAAAGGAGAGGAGGAGTGGAAAAAAATAATAAAAAAGAAAATACCTCGGAGTAAAAATAACGTAAGAGATAAGGATTAAAAAAATAATAAATAAATAAATAAAGGTTTAATATTCAACAATATAAGAAAAATAGTCAATGCTCACAAAAAGTACACAATTTTATAATAACAAAAATTAATAAAACTAAAAAATAATTTAAGTAAAAATTTATATATAACTTGATTTAGAAATTTCCAATAATTTTTTATGCTACTTTGGTGTGCAGGAATAGAATGGAATGTAATACCCATTCCAACTATTTCTTTTTTTGGTATGCAATTTTAAATGGGAGTGAAAATCTATTTCACAACTAAACCTATGGAATGACCATTCCATTCCCGAGTAAATTTTTTAAAAAAATCAACTTTCCAAAAAATCCTCATATTCTAAGTCCAAAAAATGATATTTTATTTCGTTGTGTGAACCTTTTTGATATGGACAATTTGATTGTAATAATACTTGTTCATCGTATTGTATCTTTTCTTGCCAGGTTAAAAAATAGACCTACGGTCATTCATATGCTAAAGAAGAATTCAGGTCAATCAAATCCAAAACATTAGTTTTTTGGACTACAAAATTTCATTTAATAAGATGTTTTAGGTATAATAATTTGTAAACTATATACTCCGTATTATTTATATTATTTACGACCATGGAACCAAATTCTCACCAGAAACAACATTTGGTTTGGATAATTCACTCTTAAGAGGAGTTTACTCTATGCTGTTAGGATAGTTATCCCCTTACAAAAGTAAAAAAAAAAACGTTCCATGTGCCTCCTAGGCCAAGGGCAGAGCCAATGGAGGCCTAGGGGTAAATGGACAAGTTAAATTTCCCTTCTTAAAATATACTCTAATTATTATTATTATTATTTTTCAAAATGATAAGTAAAAAATATAACACGATTCAAATTCAAACAGAGTATTTCAAGAGAAAAATTCGAATGAGGATAAAGCCTATAAAGGTAAGGTAATCCCCTTCCCAAAAATCTCTCTCCAGATCACCCATTTTATACCATAAGAATGCGATGAGTCAACCTGAAAGGTATGAGAAATTAAATGGAGAATTTATTTCTTCAATATTAAAACCCCAAAACCGACTTCATCTTCAGAGGGAATCTGGCCGGCACTGCACCGGGTACAGGATCTATGTAACATATTAACAAGGGCAAACTACAATGACCTTCCTTGAGGTTTGACCTAATTACAACTAAACTTGAGGTTTGTCATTTTTTTGCAAAGACCCCTATGTCAAAATTTACTGTGAATTTACTTATTTACCCTCATTATTATATTATGAAAAATATCAAATGACTATTTTACCCCTGTACTTATAACCATAATTTTTTTTTCTTTTTCGTCCTCCCAACCTTCTCTTTCCTCTCTCTTCGGCCACTACCCCACCCCCAATCGCCACCACCACTCAACCTCCTACCACCACCATCTCTCTCCACCATACCTATTTTCACGTTTCAATCAAACAGATGAGAAACCACCACCTCAAAAATAAAATAAGCTAAACTTAATCCAAAAACAAATCAATTAAAAAAAAATTAGAAATTTTTTTTTCAACCATCCAACATTCTCTCTCTACTTCTCTCTCATGGAACCGAATGAAAGTGGACTGAGCTTTTACCACCACCTTCCACAACCACCACACCCTCAACACCTCCAGATTCCCGCCACTGCCACACCACCTCTGCCGCCACTACTGTCGCCACCACTTCCCCCACTAATGGAATTTTGCCTAACACCGTTAGGGCCCCTCACATGGTGTACCCTCACACCGTTCCCTCGGCAGTGTCGACGCCGTTAGAGATCGGCCGGAGGAAGAAAGGGAGACCCAGAAAGTACGGGACGCCGTTAGAGATCGACAGGAGGAAAAGAGGGAGACCCAGAAAGTATGGGACGCCAGAGCAAGCGGCGGCGGAGGCCAAGAGACTGACGCCGTCATCGGCGTCTCTATCTTCGATGCCAATTTTGCAGCCGAAGATGAAAGACCAGTCCTTTGGGGTTGGTGGTAGTGCTTCTTCTTCGTCTTCCAAAAACCTAATTAGCTATGTGGGTCTCTTTAAAAGCCCTTCAATTTTTTTTCACTATTTTTATGTAAATTTTCTGAATGCCGGTCTATTTTTAATTTTTTTTTCTTTTTTGTAATCTTTGTTTTGCAAGTAACAATTTCTATCTTCAGAAGAAGATCGTATCTGCAATTTAGTCCACTAATGCATGATATTTTGGTTTTTTCATGACACTATAAGGGTAATGAGGTCTTTTATACTTAGTTGATGGGCATTTTAGTCACTTCAACCAAATTTTCTGACAGAAATAACAATTTTTTGTACTGAGGGGAGGTCTTTGCAAAATTGAGCAAAACTCAGGGGGACATGGTGTAAAAAAATGGCAAACCTCAGATTTAGTTATAATTAGGCCAAACCTTAAGGGAGGTCATTGTAGTTTGCCCTATTAACAAACCTCAGGGTAGGTAAGTAAAATTTACCCAAATATTAAACGAAGTGAGGAAAATGGCCAATAACAGGGGATCAAAATCCTTTCCATTGAGAGAAACTTGTGATTCGGGTGAAGTTTATTGGTAACTCACTTTAATATAATGGTGTGAAATTCATGTGGAAGCATATAGTAATAAATTTCAAAATTTTACCATTTTTTACCATTATAATATCGTCCTCAGGCAAAAAATATAAAAGTAGCATTTTAATATTTAAAATATTAATATCATATTTTTTTTTTAATGCAAAGTTACTAATTAGATTATTTGATTGTTCATCTATTGAATTTTGATGTAATTTGTTTGTTATATTTTGATTATTAATTTTAACAAATTTATCTAGAGCATCTTTTTGAGAATGAATTAATTTATCTATTTTTCTCCTTTTAAAAATTTTTCACATCCTTAATAAAAATAAAAATTGTTACAAACAAAATATACATTTTTTACACAATAATAATTATCTAATAAGGAGAGATGAGCATAAAAAATAAAATAAATAAACAAGAAATAGGAGTTCAATAAAAATAAATAAATAAATAAATAAGT